ATACTCTCACAGGTGTGCATTCTTTAAATATTGACTCACTTCTCACAAATCAAAATTGATTTTTTTCATGAATAATTCTTTCTAACTAGTGAATTAGCCACTGGTGGAAAAATATTAACTCAGGCAACTGAAATATACATGTATAATACAAATAATGTGTAGTAATATATTGCATAGTACATGATTCTGCCTCTAAGCCCCCTTCCAGCTTTAATAGTTAGTGATTCTATAAAGGGTGCTGAATTACTTACTCCAGGCTGCCTGTGAAGCATGACAACAATGCAGGAAGGAACTGAAATTGCACTGCTTTGTGAAGGCTGAAATCACATTTTGAGTCAACAGTCATTGTCCCGGTAAAGTGGGCTGTCTATTATTTTAGAAAGGAAGTAATATTTTTCTGTATTCCCTATCTTTTCCCATTAATAAAGTTCATTTGTTTCCATTTGTCCACCGTTTCCTAAGATTGTTGTGTCAGTGGATGCTTTTATCCTCCCTAGACAGATGAAGGTGTATGGATCTTCTAGCAAATATATTTTTAGCAACCCTTAAAGCTTATGTGTTCTGCTTTTCTGAGCAACTGGCATTCATCCCTCAGTATTCAGATCTACCTGCATCTAGCCTTCAGGGAACTGGACTGCTTTGCTGATGGTGTAGCTATCACCTAGAGGCATAAACACTGCAGGTTGTGTGTAAGCTTGGGAAGGAAGTTAATTATGCTACACATGCATATTAATCATGCAGGATGAAAACAGTCATGTCAGTGTCAAGACATGCTTTTTCCTTTCCTCTTTCCACTGCCTTCCTTCCCACTGTACTCATGTGAGAGACACAACAGCAGCCAAAGTTGAGCTTCCTTAATAAGACAGTAAATCCTGAAAAGCAAGGAAAGACCTGGCAATAACATTACCCATCATGAGAAAGAGAAATACCATCTTTTTCTGCTGAGGAGCTTGATTTTGCTAAAGATTTTGGAAAACATAGAGCAGTGCATAAACTGGTAGAATCCCTGACACAGAATCAAGTCTAAGGTCAAGTGAATGCCTTGTTGGAGACAGTCTCACTCACTCCTGTCTAGCCAAGAACAAAGGAAGTTTGACATATGTTATGCTTGTATCTATCTAGATGTCTGCCAAAGCCTCATGCAGTCATAGGTGGGGCTTTTCAGAGGTGCCTGGATCTAAGGTGTCTGATGCTGGGATTAATGATACCCCACCCTGGGTGTGAGTTCTACGCATTTTAAGGGCATGTATCCTGGATAGAATATAAAGGACAGAAAGAGGTACTGCCATCACCCGCTGCTTGCTACTTCACTTCTGTCTGCCTTCTGCCTGCCCTGCTTTGCCATGGACTGTTTCTCCTCTGTGATGCACTTCTGCCATGCCACCCTGCCTTGGAGCCAACCTACTATGGGCTAAAACCTCTACAAACTGTGAGCCAAAATAAACCTTGCCTCCATTAACTTTAGGTGTTGAGTATTTTGTCTCAGCAGTGAGAAAAGTAATTATGACAATGTATGAACAGGTAAGAGTTGGATCCTTTGGGAAAAACAAGCTCTTCTTTTATGTCAGCACACTAAGAACTCAAGAGTAAATGCTGCTTTCAGGAGAATTTGCCAACTGGTATAAACCTCACCCATTAGGATAAGTCTCCCAGAGTGTCTTAACATGACCATTGGCAGGTATTCTGGTTACCTATTACCATATGCAAAATACCTCAAAATTTGTTGGTTTTTAAGTCAACAATTTATTATTATTGATGGAAATCTCATGTGTTGTCATTGATGGAAATCTCAAGTATTGCAATTACAATCTCATGTATTGCTGTTAGACAGTCATTGATGGAAATCTCATGTATTGCTGTTAGACAGCTTCAGGGACTGGAGTCATCAAAAGGTTCAAGTAGATGAGACATCCAGTGGCCTCCTCACTCATGGGCTGGTCCCTCAGGACTCCTCCACATAGCGCATGGGGCACAGCACAATTCTGTCCTATTGTCTTGTTTAAAGAAGTCGAAGACCAACTCAAATTCACCCAGAGAATGCAGTGGCATGTGGGTACAGAGTGGGAAAGGAATTGATGGACATTATCTTTGGAGGCAAGCTACTATACAGGTGCTCAACCCCCAGGAAGTCTCCCAGAAAACCTGCTGTATGAGAAGCACAGAGATATTGGTGTTGGCCTAGCAGAAATTCCTGTTCACCCTTTAGCTCTTAGCTGAAATATCACTTTCTCCAGGGCACCTTTTTAAGCTCCTACCACTCAATTAGAGTCTTTTCCACTAAATTAGAGTCTTCTGCATTTATCCTCTATAGCATTCATCACAGTTTGTCATTGTGTACTTTGATGGTTATTGGTTTAATGTATATCTTCAGCCCTGGACTGAACTCCACAAGGGCAGATACTCCTGTTTGCACATTTCCCATTGATTCCCTGTGATACTGTGCATCTGGCTCTCAGTAAGAGCTTGGGAAATAGTAGTAGGGAATGAGTGAATGAATGAATGAGTGAATAACTAACACGAACATATTGCATCCTCCTAATTGGCTTTTGTACTGCACATAGACATTTCCATGAAAGAGAGTCACAGTCCCCCTTTCATGAATGTACTATGTTTTAAAATCAATATTTACTGAGTATCAAGGGCTGGACACCATGTTAACCCAGAGGGGTAGAACTGAAGACATGAAGGAAGAAATGAACTCAGCCTTCACAGAGTCCTCAGTCTATCTGGGAAAGTAGATGAGTAACCATACCAGTAAAACTCCATGTGAAAAGTGCTAGAATGGGTAATGCTGACTGTCATGGGTGTATTATGACATGTACCAGCCCAAATTTCACACTTAATTCCAGGGGCCCATGGATTCTGGAGTAATAACTTGTAGTTGCAGCATAAAACATGCTGCACTCATGTTTGTGGATATATTTTCTTTGTTTTATTTAGGGTGAATAGGAATGTCTTTGTTGAGAAAATTTTAAAATCCTTTTACATTTTATATCCTGTATAATAATGGAAAAGTTAAAGTTCACATCAGAGGAGCTAAAACCTACAAGGGGTTGAAAGGTTCATAAAACATTTCTAGTGTCAGATGTTAAAGTAATTTACATGTGGATGTGCTTGCATTTCATAGCATACAGTCCAAATTTTCCCTTGATTCTACTCTGAGCATATTTCACACAAGTATTTGTGAAATTGTGAACACAGTTTGCAAAATTTTTCAAGAAGTACACCGTTTTATTGTTTAAAGTTGATTTTTTATCACACTCTTCAGAATCAAACAATGAGCTCTTAATGCAGTAAGGCAACGATTAGAAATTTTTTTCTTTCTCTTTTTTTTTTTTTTAGTTTTTCTCTGGTACCAGGAACCGAACTCACGACCTTGCGCTTGCCAGGCAGGCGCTTTTGCCACTGAGCTAAATCCCCAGCCCCAGAAATTTTTTTCTAAATGTAAAGTTACTGGAAGTCTTTGAGTGCAAGAGAGACACAATTATATTTATACTTAAAAGAAATATTGTAGGTGCTGGGCAGAATTTAGGCTATAGTTTGTGAATGAATCAAGAAAACCAGTCAAATTAACTACTGCTATTAGGTAGGCTAGGACCTAGAGACACAGCCAAGGCCAGTGGTAAGTCATTACAATAATGAAAGAATTTAAAATCATGTTATATTCATATTTTGTGAAATCTAAGGGATGCTTTAGTGTTTCATTTGGGAAGATGAGAGATATCTTCAAATCTATGATGAGCTGTCTTGTAAAAGGTGGATTGAAGTTATTCCAAGTCCCAAAAGGCAGAATGGAAACCACAGAACCTCATCTCTGTGCTCAGATAAGGAAGCATTTTGTGCAAAGATAAAAGGGCAGGAGGGTTGGGGAGATAGCTCAGCCTCACAGTGTCTGCCTGGCAAGCTCAAGGTCCTGAGTTCGAATCCTGGTATGAATACCCTTGAGCTGAGTGTGGTGGTGCACACCTTAGCCTCCAGCACTCCGGAGGCTGAGGCAGGTGGATTGTTGTGAGTTTGAGTCCAGCCTGGGCTACAAAGTGAGCTCAGGGCCAGCGGAACCGCATAGCAAGACCCTACCTCAAAAAGACAAAAAAAGGGGGGACAGGGGAGGAGTCACTGAGCCCCTTCCTCACCTGTGTTGGAGAAGGGGCCGGAGGACCTGTCGGAGAGATGCGGAATGTCTGGGAAGGGATTGCGGGTACACATGACCTCACTCAGAGACTCATTGATTTTGGGAACTCATAAATGTGACAGTAGTAAGATATTCTCATTTTGGTGTAACATCACTGAAATAGAGAAAATTCTTGGGGCTTTTAGGCAAAGAACTCTAGAGCATCTGTCAAACAGCATGTCCAAAGTGGGAGTTTTCTGCTGTTGAACTGTACATGGTTTATTTTCTTATATAGCAGCAATGCTTCTCAGAACATTTTTCTTTGATCTTCTGTAGAGAAAAGGTAAATAAAGAGTCTAAGCTCTGGGTTAGAGACACCTACCTTGATTTCTCTGCCAACACTTACTAAACACATGAATATAGACAAGTTACTTTCTGAGTTTCATTTACTCCTTTGTAAGATGGTGATACTGCTATGTATTTTCTATGGTGTCTATAACAAATAATCTGTACAATGTTCCCAATGTTCCCAGAACCTTTTAGGTTTATTTTTGTTTGTTTTGTATTGTTTTTGGTTTTTTTTTTTTGAGATGGGATATTGCTATGCAGTTCAGAGTGTAGTTAAACTCACTATGGAGCTCAGGCTAGCCTTGAACTCATGGCAGTCCTCCTGTGTCAGCCTACTGAGTGCTGAGATTACAGGCATGTGTCATGTAGCATTCCCAGTGCCTTTTAAGATGTTCCATACCCAGAAAAAATATCTCGCGTTTTTTCTTGTGCAAGCAGTGGAATCTAGGATTGTAGTTATTCTGTGTGGGAACTGGATAGCATGAGCTACATAACTGAAGAGTTAATTAGCAAAAGGAAATACTCACTGATTGAACTGATGGAATTTTACTGAGGGTAAATGAATTTTAATTCCAGGGTATTATCCGTTTTTCCTCTAATTTGATACATCTTTAAAGATAACCATTTGCATGAGCTCCTAAACAGTCTGAAATATTAGGCACAGTTCAGAGCCAGTGATGAATGTTGCTCAGAGCTTTCTCCAGACTGGTGCTCGGGAGGGAGTAATTGATCCTCTCCGATGAGTGCACTTCTTCCTGTGGATATAGAGTGGGGTGAAATTGGTCTTCAAGTAAACATGATTCATAGTTTATTGAAAAAACTTCAAAGTTCCCCATGAAAATTGAATAGAGCATCAGTTCATTATACTGTAGTTATTGATATTGCAGTCTGCTCCCAAGGAACACAATTACAAATCCATTTAGGGAAGAGTATGATTGGGGATTTTGTTTTCTTTCACTTAACCTTTAGATGCCTGAATAGTGTTTTGCACATGAAGCCCTCAGCCCTTTGGGTTGTACTCTTCATCTCCAGCACCTGCTCCCCTGTCTGCCACATTGATATTTTTGCAAACATTTTTAAATGATTGAAAATGCCCTCCTTGTGCAGTCTCTGTTGTGCTTTTCCCCACCTGGGACAGGGATGCTCAGAGACTGGTTGTAAAGTTATCTTTATATGAATAGCCATTATGCTTGCCCTCTATAGTTCTCAATTAGTATCAGTCTTCACTCACAGTGTCTACATCTTTGTATATTTACAATGAATGACTCATATCAATGCAATACTGTGCACAACCTACTTATACACTGTTAGACTTTATCTGTTTTCTTAGAGTTTTCTTCAAATCCCCATAGCAGAGGAGAGCAGAAAAGCTACTCCTTCCATTCTTAAGAGAGTGCCAAGGACATGACAATTGTGCCTTTTACAGCTTTCTGGGATAATCTATTGGTCTGATGACCATCATCCCCCCCCCCACACAACCTAACCATCCTATATAAAGTGAAGACATGATGTTTTGAAGGAATCTTATCCAACACTGATGTGGGAATTCATGTTTACTGGGGAGAGCTGTGGCAGTCTGACCTTCAGAGCCAACTAGTCAACCAGGTTCTAAGAAAACACATGGAGTTTAGAAGTTGATGCTTCAAGAATGGCAGGCTGGTGTTTTACTTTGGACATGGATATTGGTAGGACCCAGAAACACGACAACCATTTCAGCTGCACCACCAGGGAGCAGAGTGGAGGGCTTGACTCCCTGATGCTATAGTTGGGGTGTGTGTGTGGGTGATTCCCTGAATATAAAGAATGGGGCTTACTTTAAGCCTGAAGAATTCTGAGGGCATGAGATGGATGGTACAGTTCGTAATGATGAAGGAGAAAAAGGAGGAGAAGAGCAGCATTTGGTCTGAATTTCCCACCACAGAAGGCAGTCAGTTTTAAGCCATCTAAATGGAATCTTCCATCAAGGTCAACACACAGGGTGAAGGGGATCAACCTTGGGATGTACCATGGGAGCAGGAGCTAAAAGTAGTCCAAAAAGAGCAACTGTGAAGCACATTATTCCATTCCAGCACATTACTCTGAATGGTGTAGTTGTTCCCACTGTATCTCGGAAGGACTCACACATGTGTCTCACAGGAAGGCAAAATTTGAGTGAGGGTCACACAGAAGCAATGATGTAGCGCTAGTCAAGGGAGAAATATTTCAGTGACCGCCTAAGGGAAAAAAACCCAAACATTTTCTCCTTCCTCCAGTCTTTCTTATCTAGGTGTATTAGTCACTTTCCTGTCAATGAAACAAAATACCTGGCACCCCCAATTGAAAAGAGGAAGGATTTATTTTGGTTTGCAGTGTCAGTGGGTTCAGTCTATGATTGGCTGGCTGCAAGGCAGAAATAGCCTGGCGAAAAGGCATGGTGGAAAAAAGCTACTCACATCCTAGCAGCCAGGAAACAGAGAAAGGGGAGGAAATGGAGACAAGAACACACCCTCCCATGTCAAGCCACCAATGACCTGCCCCTCCAACCAGACCCTACCTCCGAACGGCACAGTCAGCTCTGATCTCATCTGAGGACTGTCCACTTAATCCACATATGAGTATAGCGCATGCATAATCCAATTACTTTAAACAAGCTCCACCTCTAAGCAAGAGACTTTTGGAGGATATTTTAGATCTGAGCCATAACACTAGATCATGACCCTGAAAGCACTAGAAGAGAGGGAAGAAGATGGAGAAATAAATAGATCACGATCAACCTTCACTGCAAGTCCTTGAGCCAGAGTCAGGCTAAACTGGGAGAGGGAGAGTCAGGAAATGGAGAGAAAGAAAAAAGGAGCATCGAATTAAAAATGAAAGTTAAATTTTGTTGTAGATTAGACAGGACATCAATATATTTCAAAATAAATTTTATAAACTAAAAAGATTGCTCATGGAAAAGAAAGGTATTAGAAGGTAGTGAAGCTGCCTGAGACACCATCAAAAGCTGTGAAACAAGGTCCTCTAGAACAATCTGGATAGAGAGGAAGGAGAAAGATAAGATGATTCGTATGTGAATCCTCACTAAATTCCAGCTATTTATTAAGCTGCTTCCAGTGCAGTGTAGATATCACTAAAGAACTCCTGGTTGGAAGAGTCTGAGGACTTATACCACACAGCCCATTGGCCCCTGCATCCTCATTAAGGTGTATTTCCTGTCTGAATCTCCCCATGTCTATGGTGCTGGTGGTCTTACTTTCCCCCACGGGCTCCTTCTCTCTTCTCTGGACACAAACGGACATTTCTGTCCTCAGAAGGCACATTAGTGACACCCATGTGAAAGGCGTGATACCGAGGTCAATGTGCATAACAAGGCCACAGATAATTCAGGCACACTTTCCGCAGACTTCTTTTCTCCAAGAATAAGCTCTGTTGGTGGGTTTATCAGTTGAGATCCATCTGAAAGAGTATGCTTTCATGTAGGTTAAAAAAAAAGCAGGAATTGTGCTCAGGAAAGAAACCAATGACAATTTCTTAAGGCAATCCTGAATTCTCACTGAAAAAATTCAATGGGGTGTCTTGGTGTTAGCCATGAAAAGCTCACAGTGACATTTGCTATATGCTTTTTATAGCCTCTTTACAAACACTAGGTGAATTTTCTATGTAGGGATCTTGTCCACCTAATTGAAAATTGCTGAGGTCTGACATATTATTTAGATGGTTTTACAAATGAGGTTTAGTTCTCATTTGCTTTCAGTAGGTGAGTGCATTTGGAAAAGAAAAGTAAAAAGTAATACCAACAGACGAAAATGGCAAGGATGGGCTTTGTGTGGAAATCACAACCGGAAAGAATACAATCGAATGTGGTTCAAAGCATCCTTTGGAAAGACCCCTTCATGTTGAGAGCGTGAGAGAAGCTGAGTGAGAGCATTTAATATTTTAAAATCATGATGGCCTTTTGACAGTGTCTGTTCCAGGAGTCTGCTCAAGTGTGCAAACTGTGAAGGCATTTCATCCCGCAGCGGTCCTGTTGATTACATCTCCAAAAATATATTTTCCCTCAATTCTCTTTTCTCTAGCACTATTGCTGCTACTTTAGTTTGGACTCTTTCTGTCCATCTGCCCCCTTTTTTGAATCTACTCACACAGTAACTGATGTGAAATAAAAAAAATCCCCAGATCATTATTCAGATATATTTAGTGTATTTAGCTATTCACTTGGTTCAGGCTGCTCCTAAGCCTTGGCAATTGTGAATATAGTGCTATCAACATCCATGTGCAGGTTTTGGTGTGGGTATGTTCTCAACTCACTTTGATAAATAAGCACAATAACTGAGTCATGTAAAAGTTTGTTTAGTTCTTAAGAAACTGCCAGTCTATCTTTGAAAGTTCCATTTTGCCTTCGTACAAGCAATGAATGGGAATTTCTGTGGCTCCACAGAAATTCTAATATTAGAGGTCAGTGTTTTAGATTTTGGCCATCCCAATATGTGTGTGGTGGGATTTTATTTGTTTACTTTGTAGTTCTCTAATGACATATGATCTTGAACATCTCTTCATTTACTTGCTGCTTGTATATCTTCTTCTGAGAGGTGGCCGTTAAGGTATTTGTACTTTTTAAATTAAGTTCTTGTTGCATATTGCTGAGTTTTAAGAGTTCTGTGTATATTTTGGATAGTAGTGGTTTTTTAGGTATAGCTTTTGTGAATAACTTCTCCCACTGTGTGGTTCATCTTCTTGTTTATCTGACACTGTCTTTCACAGAGCAAATTTTTATTTTTAATAAACGATTATCAACTATTTTTTTCATGAATCATATCTTCAGTATTGTATCTAAAAAGTCACTGCCATACCTAAGGTCATCTGGATTTTTTTGTTATCTTCTGGGAGATTTATATTTTTTCATTTTATATTTAGATCTTTTATAACTTTTGAGTTAATTTTGAGAAGGGTGTAAGTGTATCTTTATCCATTTTTGTCGCTAATAACAAAATACTATGGACTAGGTAGGATATAAAGAAAATAATGTGTATTTTGGCTCAAGTTTCTGGGCCAAGGTCAAGAGGCTACATCTGATGATGTCTTTTTTACTGGCAGAATCCCAAGGCAGGGTAGGATATCACATAGCAAAAGGCAGTTGTTCTTTTCATCTAGTTTTCATCTAATACCACATAGTCCTAATTTATAGTAAGTCTGTAAGTTTGGGTAGTATCAGTCTTCTGACTTTGTTTTTCTTTAATATTGGGTCAGCTATTCTTTTGCCTTGCCTATTATTATGGATCACCTTGTTTGTATCCACAGATTAATTTGCTGAGATTTTAATTATAATCACTTGAAATTTACAAAGTTGGAAAATTAGCACTGTGGCAATATTAAATCATCCTACTCATGAGCATAAAATGTATTTCCATTTATTTAGTTCTGCTTTGATATATTTTATAAGAATTTCATAATTTTCCTCATATAGATCTTATATATATTCTGTTAGATTTATGCTTATATATTTCGATTTTTAGAAGCCAATATAAATGGTAATGTATTTTAGTTTAAAAATTTTTCTCATTAATTGCTGGCATAAGTGAACATGATTGGCTTGGGTATAGTACCTTACTATTTTGAAAGCTTACTGTCATTGTTACTAGTATTGAGAGGATGTTTTTTGTCAATTCTTTCAGATTTTCTACCTAGATGATTGTTATCTGTGAATAAAGGCAGTTTTTTTTTTTTTTTTTCTGGTACTGGGAATTGAACTCAGGACCTTGAGTTTGCCAGACAGCTGCTT